AGAGAGAGAGAGAGAGAGAGAGAGAGAGAGAGAGAGAGAGAGAGAGACCGTGCTATGTTTAAGAGAACCTCAGAGGGTGTTTCACTGCAAAGTGACAGTGATTACTCTGGAGTGTAGGGTGGCTGGGAATGGAGACATTTTGATTCTCCTGGAGAAGAATCCTGGAAACAAGGCCTCATCCCCTCCTCTCATGAAACTAATGATCAGACAAAAGGCCAAGTAAAGAATGAAAGAGACCAAGAAGAAATCCTAGGGAAATTGTTTATCTTCATGTAGAAAAGAATTATATTTTGTAATTTCAATAATAGTTCAACATTGTAATTACACTGATTCACAAAGAAGAAAATTTTATATAATGAGATTAACTCTTGAAATTGTTTCTGACTTTGCTAAACCAATTATTTCTGTTACTTTTTTGCAAACTAGTGAAACTCATGGTTTAGGCATTGTGATGTCTGTGTTTGTGGAGTGGAGGGACAAAGGTGTTGTGTATTTCCCTGATGGCTACATTACTAGTTAGTGAATTGTTGAAAATGGATCCAGTCTCACTATGAACTTCTTGCTAACTACATAATTAATGTTTTTGATCATGTTAATCCTTAGACTTAATAATAATTACATCCTTAAATAACATTACTAATTCCTTCTCCAAAGGAAGATTCATGTGTTAACTCCAAAAACTCTGATCATGTCCCTGAATAGAAGCATTGAAAGTCTATGTAGTAAACTTTTTATTCTATTTAATTTTTATATTGATGTGCAGTATCTTATTTCACCTCAGTTTGTTCATCTACATTTGGCTTTTTCATAAATATACTCTGAGCTTGGGGAAGTTAGACTTCCATCTTCACATCTCCTTAAATGACTAGTGGCTAAGGATTGTTGATTCTTCTCTTGCCTAATGGTAAACTTGCAGAGATTCCTCTTATATATCTCCAAAGGACCCACTTTCAGCCTAATTCCCTTGGGGAGGACAATCCCCTGGCAATGGCTACCAGTGGCCCTCCTGGAGAACTTCAGGGCAAAAGAGAAAAACAAAATTTGAGACCAAAATTTGAGAGCAAAACAGAAAAAGATCTTCATTTTGTTTTTAGGCCAGAGACAATTAAGACAATTCTTGCCTTTCACTGTCCTAGATCATCTTTTGCATACTCCATTCAGGACAGCCTTTTAGTGAGCTATTGCTGAGCATGATTGAGTGAAAAAGACACAATTTCTGTCTCCAGAACCCTGGCAATCATTAAGAGAACCTACAATCCAAATACCCACACCCGAGCTATTGAACTTTCCAGCATGTGCAAACATGGAGGATAAAGTTGTATTTTCTTTTACCCTGACCCATTCCAGTGCTTTCTGGAGAGAGAAGGGCATGGATCCAGACAACCTGGGCTGAGAGATAAACATTTCAAATGTGGTATTTATAACAAGGATTTGTCGTCATCATCATCATCATCATCATCATCATCATCATCATCATCATATCATCAAAACATTTAGCTCCATAACACCCCATCTTCCCTAAGGGCTGCTGTAAAAAGCAAGTGTAAGTGCAATGTGATATGCTTGCAATTCCATCTGGTAGAGAATTTCCAAAGGCTTTAGAAAAATTAGGAAAAACAACTGTTTTTATCCTGTCATTCACTTGCATGGAAGCAATTTCTAAATAGGTGCAGCTACACATTTTCTCTACTGTTTCCTACAACAAACCTTGTATTTTCACCTTCTTTTTACTACATCATCTTAAAAGTTTTATTTTGCCACATGCAAATAATTTAGTTTTCCATTTTTCCTTCTCTGTTTCTCCTTGTAGGGAAAATTATGAGACAGGCAGGGAAAGGTAAGGGCCTTAGTGAGGTTTCAGGCAACTCAGGAAAAAGAAAGTTAAAATGATTACTTGAGAGAGAGCAATTAAGAGATACAGGGAGAACTGATAAACAGCCTGGCCCCACTTAGAGCCAGGGTCCCGCTTAGCTCCTCTCCACCTCCTGTTAAGTACAAAGGAGACAAAGTGGGGAGGGGGCTATATTATAGAAAACTCACCTAGTGTATAAAAAATATACTCCCTTCTTTCTCCTACCCCTTCCATTCCCCAAAGGTGCAAATTTCCAATCACAAATTTCCAATCATTATATTGTATACCTTAAATATATCAATATAATTACTTAAAAAAAGAAAAAAATATACTCCCACTTGATATATATATTCTCTCACCATATTACTGCACTAAAATGTACATGTATGCCTTTACTAATTACTAACTTGGCCTTGTATGTAAGGCTCTATTATCAATTTCAGAGATAACACTTCAGCAGGACAAAGAAGGGCAAAAGAATCTTGCCCAAGAATTTGCACTTGGCTATGGAAAGGGTCAGTGGCCAAATCAGGGATCTCAGAGCCCAAGATAGCCAATCAAGTTACAACAACTGTCAAGGGAGGAGTGTCCCTTTCTTGCTAGGTAATAAAAGGGGCTAAGAACAAAGACCCTGGAGACCTGGCTCCAGGCTCCTACCTTACTCCAACAAGATAGCAGTCTTGTCTCCTCATTTCTCTCCTCTTTCCAATGAAGTGATTTATTTCTTTTTTAAAAGTTATTTCTCTCATTCTTTATTTATATAAGTTTATGATTCCCAGATAGCCTCATGAGATGTGACATCCTTTTTAAAAGACATTAGTAATTTTCTTGTGTGTTCAGAGAAAAGCCAAATCCAGAGATATCATACGTTTGCAATTTCAGGTGCTTATGAATTGCATCTGCAATTCACAAGTTTCAGTCCATGTTTGGTGGGCTTAAACTCAGAAAGGGCCTGGCAGAAGTGCTTGGGCGAAGGCAAGCTGCTCACCTCCTGGCAACCACGAAGCTAAGAGAGTAGTGAGGAGCCAGAGAGGAAATATGTCCTTCAAGGTCACAGCCCCAGGACTGCCACACCAACAAGGCGGGAAGTCAGCTACAGAGACCCCATGGTCCAATTCTTTTCGAAAACCCCCGCCTACGAGCACATGAGGCTCTTGGGGACTTCTAGATATAGACAAAAACAACATGTATGGTGAAAGTGCAGTCAAGGGAAGTGTTGCGTCACAGGGCAGGGGCTGACCTGAGGACATAATGACATACATAATGACTTTTACCTTTCTACTCTTACCTCAAGACAATCCTTGCCTATATTTATAGAAAAGTTCTGCAGCAACAGAACAAACACTTATTTTTTTGCTATAGTTCAACATGATGACAACGGGGAAAATACAAACCATTGTGCATGAAGAACTAAAGAAAGGCAAGATCAAGAACTGAAGGAAATAAACATGTGTAAGGAGACTCTCCAGGGGAAGAACAGTTTACCTTTTTTTTCTCTCTGAAACTTGAGGTTTGTGCAATTAAAAGAGCCATTATATCTGCTATTTATCTTTACTACAGTATATATATTGCTTCAAAACAAGTGATCTTCTTTATTTTTCTCTGCTCTTTATTCAAAGTTATATGTAGAGATTATATTTAATAACATGATTTTATCATTTTATCATGTGATGTACATGTTAACGTGAAAAATTGATCACTGAGTTTTCTACTTCTGAAGTACACCTTGCTGTCTTGTTTGGTTTTTTTTGGTACTGGGGATCGAACTTGGTTCCTTGCGCTTGCATAGCAGGCTAAATCCCCAACCCCTCTTTTGGTTTAATTCTGCATGAAAAGGAGGAGGAGGAGGAGGAGGAAGAAAAGCAGGAGGAAGAAGAAGGGCAGCTAAGTAAACTTTCAAGAGCATTTGCAGCACCTTCCCATATTGGTTACAAAGATAGACACCAAATCTTTGTTGAGGAAATTTAATATTATTGTAAGAACAGATAAAAATGGACTGATGGGGGTGATTAGCAAATGTAAGTGACAGATTGAACAAGGTGTAGTGAAGGAAGAACAGATTATCTAGCATATGGTGTTGGAAAAGTAGGCTCACTATATGGAGAAAAAATTAATCATGTTCTTTTAAGCATTGCCTTTACAGGTAAATGTATATGGATTAAATTTAAAAATAAGTAAGATAATTTACATGGAACTTTTCAAGGCCATATTCTTCTGCCCTAGTTTAACTACGTAGTACAAAGACATACATAAAGGTTTTGTTTTTTGCCTGGTACTGTGTCACTTTTATGGCAATGGTGGCAAACCTCTGACACTTGTGTTATTGTGTTTTTCTTTTAAGACAAAAGATGTTAATGTGTGAGTTAGTTTTTTTTTTCTAAACTAAAACCTACATATTCAGCTTAATTGCAGTGTTGGCACCTTGTAATAAATACGTGGGTTTTGGGTTGCAGGTTGGACATTCATCTCTAAAAGGTTCTCCATCACTGCTCTATGAGCTTATTTAAAATTCACAAAAAGCCACAAAGAAATGTTACTCCATACTACATTTTACAAGTGGCAACCCAGGCATTATCGGCCACTTAGGTTCATAAACTTAAGTTTGTCTGCTTGCTACCAATCAAATGAAAGGAGGACATACATTTGGGTTAAAGGGAAAAATAATTTATGTAAAGCAAGCTCTGAGGAGATAGAGAAAATTATTTTCCTGAAATTACCATTTTACTATATACAGATTTGTTAGGAGATTTTATAGCAGGAAAGGTGCTGGGCAGAATATAAACAACAATAGACATTTTCTGGCTAATTCCACCCCTTCCTGGACCCAGACCTCTACCTCTCTTGCCTAAGGGAATGAAACTGCATTTGACCTCCTGGTGTCTGGAGTTGCAGACTGCCTCCATTCCTCTCAGTGGAGGAGAGGTGGGGGAACCATTTTTGCCCTAGTCCTGAGGAATTTTGGAAGCCATTTGACTCTAAAGGAAAAAGAAATTTGACATTTAAAGTTCCATTTTACACCAGGATGAGAGAGTTAATAATGAGAAACCATAAAGATTCAAGTACAGAACTGACAAGTCCAGTCAGTTTGGTTTCAAAGCCCTCACTCCTTAAAAGTACAGCAAAGAAAACTTTTTAAAGGCTTATGCAGATCAGAAAATATATCATTAAAAGTGCTAGTGCATGTGTATAGAATATGTGCATTATATCTATGGACACATATTAAGATAAGTCATGGCACAGAAATGTATCTGACCCAATATTTCTAATTTAAAGTGTAATAGTTAATCTTCATTCTAATCACTGTCATTTCATCAGGAATCTATGAGACAGAAAGCAGTCATGTAAATAGACAGTTTGCAACACTGCTAGACTTCATATGTAAGAAATAAAAAAAAAATATTTAAATAAAAATAGCTGCCTTACAAGTTCCTGGAAAGCATCTTTTCCTTTCCAAGAACAAAATCCTTTCCTTTTTCTTGAATTGTATATATACTATCACTGGTCTTCTTAGCTGTGTGTGATTTACACTGCTTAAAAACTCTGTTTTTTCCAATCCATCTCAGCTTCAACAAATCTGAGCTCAATCCAGGGGCCTCCACTCACCTCACAAAGAAATATTAAAGAGTAGCTGATGTGCTTGAAACTCATTATCAATTTAACATCCTTTGATCTGCCTTCAGAAGTTTAGTTATACAGACAGACACTCTACATTTGCGTTTTAACTAGCAGAAGAAATACCGATCTTCTCTGGAAACAGGTGAGTGGTCCTAGATCCCTTGGATGACATGTGGCCACTGGGGTGAAAAGCACATGTAAATATTTTTTTGGACATAAAATCTTCTCTGAAGGGGTGTATAACTCCTTTCCTATTGACATTAGGTAGTTCTGTGGTATTCAGATATTCTCTAGAATTCTTTCTTATTTGCCACAAAATATAAGTTTTCTGTGGAATTGTTTGTTATATGAAATACACAATAAATGTTACATTTAAATTACCTACATAAAATATGGAAACTTAAATAGATTGGATTCTTATTGGAAAACTTCTAAAAGTCGTTTTTAAAATTTGTGTGAATTTCATGGGAGAAATTATATTTTATGTTGGTGATCATTAATAAAATATTTCTATCTCAAAATTTTGTTTTGACCAAATTGAAACTGTTAGCAAGGATGATTTCTCATGCTTAATCTAGTAATATCTTTATTAATTCGTTGACAAATATGTTATCATTAATGAACATTACTGCTCAATTGAACCAATGTTTTATTTTTCTAACAATAAAACTAATATAATTGTCATGATGTAATTATTCTAATATAGTCTAATGTAGAATTCTAATATAATCACCTAGACATGAAAATTAATTATATTGCTATTTTTAGAATGAAAAAAATTTTACTTAAATATCAAATTGATAAAATTGTTTTTGGAAAAGTATAGCTTTTTTATGTTACCTTTTAAGCTGAAATTCTCAGCACATGTAATCAATAGGTTTTTAAAAATTATACTTAGAGATATGTTTATTAAATTATCATCTTGCCATTATTCAGTTCCAAAGCATAAAAAAATGTTCATCCTGAAGTAAAGAAGTTGCCACTTACCACTGTTTGTTCTCAGAGCAGGATGAAGAATTTTTTTCATCTGTTAGAAGAAGGAATGTGGAGAGAGTTACACCTATTTGCTGTTTAGCAAACTCTGGTTGTGCAAGTAAATCTTGGTTAACAACATCTGAAACAGTAGATGTCTTACCAATGGTCTCAAATTTCATTGCTTGTTATCTAAGTGAAATTTTTCTATCACTTAGTGATTATCTACATAGCTAATAAAAATAAATTGCTTAAAGTTCTTCCTACTACATATTTGTTATTTTGGAGCTCTAATTTAATCATAATTGATCCATATTTTTTCCAATAAATATTTTGAAAATTTTTAGTTTAAATTACTCTCATCATAACCTCTGAGCTTTCAGGACTACTTGTATAATAATAAAGCTAGGAGAGCTGGACATGTTGGAGCACACCTTCAATCCCAGCATTCTGTGATGCTGAAGCAGGAAGCTCATAAGACTGAGTCAATTTTAGGCAATTTAGGGAGACCCTGTCTCAAAAGAAAAGACAAATTAGGCCTAGATATTTAGCTTAATACAAAGGCCTTGGTTTTTGTCACATGGTCTATGTGACAAATGTGATACAGTGCTTGATGGGGTTTCTGCGAGATACATTCCAAATTCTTGTGCACGATGAGCTGCTATAAGTTGCAAGTTATATACATGATTGTTAAGAGGAAAAACAGTTACATTCTGTGAAGTTAATGGTGGAAGGTATGCTCTGAGCAAGCAAGTTCATGCCAGCAGGAAGTGGTGCCTGTGCAGCAAGGAGAAAGGAATGAAGATAAATTAGGCTTTTGGATTTGAAAAAGTTTGCATTCCACCTAGTGTGGCTTTCATTGAATCTCTCTGCACATGGCTGGCAAAAGGGTTGACAGGGTGCAGAGTCATCTCAATGGTATCTATTGCACATAACTTTTCCCATAATTCACTTCTATAATTAGATATATAGCATGCAGCCAAGTGTAGAAACTGTCAATGAATCTCAAGTAAGGAAAGCTCACTCTGGGTCATGCCACTCTGTCTAACACACATGTGCTCTGGCCTGGCCCTTTAGGAATTTCCTGGTTCTGTTATTTTTTTTTTCCTGCTTCTCTTAGTTCAATGGAAGAAGGATTGATCCTGGCATGTTGTCCAAATTTAAGTGAATGGAGGGAAAGTGGTCTCATAGCCACAATTATTTTAAATACATTATCCCCCCTCCCCACCCCCAAAAGACCTGATCAATGAAAATCTTTAAGGGATCCAGAGGGAGGAATGTCCATTTTCCATGACTGCTTCTTGGTGAACAGGGGTACTGAACCTACCTATGTGAAGACTAAGGAACTCTCTCTGCCTCATTTAGGGGGCTATGAGAGACTTACTACTTCTCTGAGGATTTCCTTATGAACTATAGATATGGAAGTGGATTTTAGTACTCAGGTCGTCAATGTTATATTAACAGCTATTAAACAAGAAGAAACAAATTTGACTAAGAGAGTAAGAATATGAGGTCTAAACGTAAGTTTAAGAGAAGTATTAATACAGATCCTGTCCAGGGAAGTAAACAAGATGCCCAATTCCAGACTTTTGGTCTATGACTCAGATATTTCCTGGCAGATCTTAGAAGTGTGGTCAGCTAGCATTTGTGCTGTATCTCTCACTATTTCAGACTGATTGACACAGGAGCTACATTCTTCTTTTAAAACAAATGTAATGGTTAAGAGATCTATACACTGATGGTTTTGAATGGTCAGTGCTGCTAGTGAATCTCTTTGATTTGGGGGGATGTCAATATTCTGGGAGATTTCATCTAGCCCATTTCTCGGGTTCTTAGGTAACTGTTGATATTAGGAGAGATATGTGATTAAATATAAGGTTTTGTGTAAGTAATCACCACCTATTTTCTCTTCAAGAGGTAGTTTTTCAGCTACCCAAGAGTATTTTAAGTGAAACAAAGAACAAGGAAGAAGAGATCATTTTATAAATTCAGTCAAGGACCTTAAAAGTGAATCATAGCAATGAAGAGAGTATAAAAACTAGCTACACAATACATGTAGGGAGAATCCCTATTCCTGGATGTAGCTTTTCCTTTTTACTTAGAGGGAACAAAATGGTTTTCATATCTGGCTCAACAGGTTGGTTGGTTTTTCTTTTCTGACGAGAATCCTGAGGCCATTTATTGGTTCAAAGCTGTCTTTCTGTGAGGTTTGGTGTCTTTCTTAAGTGCTTTGTGGTGTCTCAAGTGGCTTGGGTTTCACCTTGGAGAGGTGACTCCAACTATCTGGTCCCTGTATCTTAATGGTAGAGAGTGTGGTTAGCAGGGCTGCATAAGGGCCTTTCCATTTGAGGATGGGTTGTTCCTCAGGCCCACCCTTCTTCCATATCTTGATTAGGATCTGATAAGCAAGGCAGATTTTGAGCTGACAATTATTGTTAGTCCCTGGGAATGGAAAAATCATATTTCCATATTTCCGGAAGGCTTGTTGTAAAGTTCCCAGATGGGTGACATGTTGGAGGAGCTGGGAAGTTCTGGTGTGAATAAGTAGTTCAGATGTTTAAGGGGCCTCCTATAAAACATCTCAAATGGGAAGAGATTAAATTCATATTTGGGGGCTGCCACAAACTTCAGTAAGGCAATTAGGAGATCTTGTCACTTATGGTGAGCTTCTTTACACTGCTTGGCTAAGGTCCACTTAAGGGTTTGATCAGATCATTTGACCTTCCCTGAGGACTGAGGCCATCAGACAGCATGAAGATGGTATTCGTTCCCATTGCTTTGGTGACTATCTTTGTGATAGCCCATTATCACTCTGGATAGACCTAGGCAGCTCAAAACTAGGGGTCACTTCTTTAAGAAGAACTTTTACTTCCTCCAAAGACCATTCTAATCTGGTAGGGAAGCCTTCTATCCACTCAGTAAAGGTATCCACAGAAATGTGTGTAACCCTTACACTGAGGCATATGGGTCAAGTCTATTTAGCAATCTTCCCAGGGGAGAATGTCTTTTTTCTATTTCCCTGCTGTTCTGACAACACTTTTCTATTGGAGCCACTGTAGGTGTGGACCTGCCCTGAGTATATCTTCCTGTTATCTTCAATATATGTAGCTGTTTTCCCTTTTAACATTGAGTGTACACTTGCAATTCTTTGCTTACCATACACAAGAATCTAGAATCTACCTTTTGAATGTAACAAACAGTATCAGTAGATCTCACCTTATATAGAAGGTGTCATGTAGAGATTAATGATTGTCCACTGTGCTCATTATGGCAAGAACAGCCTGGGATCCACATACTGCCCCTGGCCTTTTTGGACTCCTCCCTCATCACAAATGATTTGAATGTCTTCTACAGAATACACAAGCTCTAAGTTAAAATCTTGAAATGGGACCACAGAAAGAGCATTGATGGGCAGGGATTATTTTGGAGGGCAGCCTGTTTGGCAGCTGAATCTGCCTTAGAGTTAGCTTGGGAGAAAAGGTGCAAGGAGGCCTGAAAAAGGACAACTGCTGCCTCATTTGGGATATTTACTGCCTTGAGGAGTTTGAGGATCTCTAGTCCATGTTTTATTGGTAACTGGCTGCTAATCAAAAGTCTTTCCTTCCACATGGCTGCATACATATATAAGATCAGAAAGACACAGTTGGAGCCAGTATACATATCGGCACTCTAGGTTCTGGGCAAGTTGGAGAGACTGAGAACAATAAGTTCTGCCTCTTGGGCTGAAGTCCCAGGAGAGAGTCCTCTTGCTTCAGTGACCTGCATAGGAGTGTCTGTGGCATAACCTGTCCTCCAAACACAGTCCATTAAGAAAATGCTGCCATCACTAAACCATGTGTTAGCTAACACCGTCAGTGACTATTTCCACAGATCTGGATGGTTCGGATAATTCCGGGCAAGGTTGGTTGGAAGGAGAGGATCTGAGTTTAAGAGAGACATCTTGGTTTGAGATAAGGATGGCCTGATATGAAGTGAGACTTTCTCCAGTCATCCACAAATGTCCCTTGAATTCTAATGAAGCCTTACTCTGGTATGGGATTAGAAATGAGAGCTTCTGTACTACTTTTATTTTAGAAGCTTCCTGAACTAAGAGTGGTATAATGGCTACTGATCATAAGCAGCTGTGTCTGCCCTGTGTAACCCATCTAGTCATTGGCTACAGTAAGCAACTGGCTAGTTTTCCTTGCCCAGATGCAGGGTTAGTACTTCAATTGATTACTCTCTATTTTTCAGTACAAAGAGACAAAAAAAGCTTATGGTGTCAGATCCCTAGTGGCAGGGCCTGCATCAGGGCCCATTTTAGGGCCTGGACTTACTCTTGAGTGGCTGAAGTTCATTTTAAGGATTCCACCTCTGGTCCCCAATTTGCCTCATATAAGAGTTTGGCTATTACTCTAGAACGGGGTATCCATATGTGGCAGAAGCCAGCCATTCCCAAGAAACCCCTGAGCTGCTGTTTAGACCTTGGAGGAACCAGTCAGCAAATTGCCTGTGTTCTCCATGAGGGCAAGTGTATCTACTCTGGTATGAAAACATACTCCAGATAGGTCATTTTGTTGTTGTTGTTGTTGAGAAATCTGGGCCTTGTAACCTGATTGGGATAACTTCTAACCTTGAAACCTAATTTTGCTTAAAAAAATTAAGAGTCTCGGTGGAGTTTTAATCAGATAACACCTTGGTGGAACTACAAATGAGGAGGAGGAGGTCATCTAAATACTTTAATAGGCCCTCTGTTTTAAAAACTTAAGCCTCTACAGTCTTGAGCTAAAGCTCTTGCAACCAGGTCATAACTATCTCTAAAACCCTGAGGCAAGTTAGTCCATGTATACTTTTGGGAAAGACCTATTTAAGGAGCCACCCATTCAAAGGCAAACAAGTACTACAGATATTCAGAGGTAGGGTCCACAGGGACGGAAAAGAAGAGATTTTTTTGAGATAAAGACAGAGGACAAATTAATGTCTCCTGAGATCTGAGCAAGGAGCGTGAATGGGTCTGCTACTAATGGTGAATAGGCACCACTGCCAAATTGATGACTCAGGTCTTGTACTACATGATATTATGGCTTGACTACTGGTAAGATGGGTGTATGCATCAGACTGGCATGGCACCAGCCATGCTGTAGCCAAAAT